TCGCCGTGATTGTTTGAGGCTTATTTAGGCATTTGTGCCTCCAACTTGAATTGGGTCTAACTTAGTCTCACTGCAGTCCAACTGCAGCACTAAATAATGCGTACAAATGCAGTCGAGGGTTGGCCGAGAATGGGCATGGGAGAGGGGGATGGGGCGGCAGACAATTCCTACTGCTTTGAGGAGGAGCTGGCAGCCAGCATATTGCAATTTTACAAATCAAACAAAAGGCAGCAGGCAGTAAAAAAACAAAAACAAATGGAAAAAAAAATGGGAGAGAAAAAAACGGCGCCATAAAATGCAGAAGAATGACTGAGGCAGCGCCTGCCGCTCGGCCAAAAAGGACAATGCGCAGGCCGACCAAGCTACACACACGTCCACGTACGTATCCTGAGGATGGCACAGGACACAGCTCAGCTCAGCTCAGCTAATATGCATTGCACATGCAGCCAGTGAGAGCTGCAGACGAGGAGGCGGACACGGACGCGGACGGAGACGTCGGCGGGGACGGGGTAACGAAACTTTTTTCATGACTGTTTGGCTGTTGTTTGGGCTGGAACGGGAATTCGGCTTGTTTGCCAAGCCAAATGCATCCGATGCAATTTTTTTCGGCGCAATATAGACGCAAGTCCTCGCTGCAATCAACTTTGCGAACGCGAAGGAATGATGGTTGGGTGCCTGGGTGGATGGGCTGTTGGGGCCGCTTTGCAAGTCAATCAGTCCAAAAAGTCGCATAAGCCAAGCGACTCGCCTCTACACCCGCACCACGCCCCATTTATCCGGCTGCTAAAGTACCTATTATCCTTGTACGTTGGCTGGCAACGGGCAAAATGCAATATCGAATGCATTTGGTGGCAGCCACAGCCAACCCACCGCATCGCTCAACTAAACGCACAGAACTGCAGCCGCAAAGAAATTGCAAAAGAGGAAAAACAAAAATAAAAAACAACTTTTATCGTCAGCAGGCCGAAGAGTGAATACCCTTGCAGACAAACGGCTCATTGTTTTAGGATTGTAATTGCTGAGCACGGAAAATATATCTTGAGAAAAAGAAGAAGGTTTCCACCCAAAATTTCATTTTGCGATCGATTCTTTTTATAAAGCCGTTTTTTCACATACGAACTTCATTTTTGAACTATTGTTCCAATGAAAGCTATATGATATAGTTGACTGATTTTGCTTATATGTAAGGAGCATGGCATGAATCAAACTGGCAATGTATATACCTATATACTCAATGAAATCTAAGATCTATTCTGCTTTTACACATTTCATGACAAAACTTGAATATTCTCTTAAAGGGTATACGAAATTTGGTATGCTTTGCAATCGCAAAGAAGAGGTGCCGCACATGGGGGCAACAAAAAGCCGAGTGAGATTTTCAATTAAAAGGAATTGCTGCTCTATGTGGATTTTTGTGCTTATTAGGCTGCTGCACTGCCCCACCTATTCCCCGCACGTACCCACACATACACATACACTCAAAGCCCTTCGCATTTGGTAATCAATTTCAGTTTGTTGTGTGTTCGGCGCCGCGTCGCCTGCCTCCGCTGTTGTGTAGACAATCTTCGCTAATAAGCCGCCAGTTACCGCCCCCAACCTCCGTCGAACGACCTCGCCCTGGCACTTGCATTATGTATAGAGCGGCATTTGGCATTCAGAATTCTGCCAAAATGCATTTGTCGGATATATATATATATATATATATAGTATAATTCACGCCAAAATGCTTAGAATGTCGCATTTCAATTAGGACATGCTGCCGCTGGTCTGCTTAGCATAAGGATTAGTTTCCTGATTATCTATCTGTGGCTGCGCGCGTGTGTGTGTGTGTGTGTGTGTCTGTGTGTGCGGGCACAAAAAGTGTCATTCCGGCACTACAGAGACTGCAGCATAGGCAAAATATTGCTGACAATCCTTTGCCCGGACATGTGGGCGTTGCTAGAGGTTCGAACCCTGCTGGATTTGATGCCTGCTCAAGAGAAAGCAATACGATTAATATAAATGACCTAAAAAGAGTAGTGTACTTGCGCTTGGTAATCAAGTTTGATACAATTTGAATAGAGGTTTCAGCTTTAATCTAGCTCTTAAATTTTGATATATCTCCTTCTTTCGTAGGTGACAAATCTGTGATTTTCAAACTTTGCGACACTTTCGGGCAATAGGGAAAGTGTGTCGCCTAGGGAATATGAAAGCGTTTCGCTTGACAGATACTTGACAAATGCTTGATAATGACAACCATCTGTAACCCACTTAAAATTGTTAAAGGTGATAAAATGTATTTCCATAATATCTATAAATATCGAATCTGCGATAAATTTTAAATAGCTGTACATCATAATCGAATCGATGTTTATGAGCTCTTCACTTTATTTCCACGATTCCCAGGCTAAGCTGTAGATCTATAAATATAGACTTGGGGCAAGGCAGAGAGCATTTTAGTGCCGGTTCGTGGAAAATCCAGCTAGCTTATGGCTGTTTATTCTATCGGCTAATTCCTCATCGCACCAGCATTGCAAATTGCGCTAAGGCTGTTGTGTGTTCGAGGCATATTTAAGTAGAGTCCTTGCGACACGCACAACAAAAACTACAAAAACTATGCAAAAATGTAACAAAACCAGGCCGAATAAAGAACAAAGTCGAGGAAAAACTCTTTGACAAAGGCAGGTAGCAGAAGAAGAAGAATCCAAACCAAACCCCAGTTGAAAGGCTACATATGAATGGTCGGGCCCGGGCAAAGGATTCGCATTGGTTGGGAATGCAAAATAAGCGCAAAGGATTAACAAAAGGTAGATTTGGCAATGCCCAAGTGCATATACTTTCCACTCGAATGACAAACGATTGTCAATATCTACCATATTTGAATGTGTGAGAAAAATCTACAGTTTTCCCGACGTTTTCTTCATCAAAAGTGCGCACTTTTACTTTCGGGGCGCAGCTGAAAATTTGATTTCCTTGGCTGTGATTTTATTGATATGCATTCAGCATTCATTTGGGGTTCTTTGTTTGTCTCACCTTTTGACACATTTCAAGAATGCCAGCAGCCCCTTTTGTTTGAATGGGTTAATTTGTATATTTAGCTGTTTGTCCCGGTGGTTGGCTGCCCTTCCCCAAGCAGCAGCGCAGCAGAAGCAGCTGTCCTTGATAGCCAGCTCTCAGCTGGCGCTGGATCAAGAAATTCCTTGGCCTTCCAGGCTGCATTAGCATGCGGCATTATCGAATATTGATGCAGTGCGTCTGCTGCCAGCATTGAAACATAAATCCAATTAAACGTTAAGTTGCTGCCGACAATTTGTGGCACGTTTGTCGATGTTGCACCTTTTGCGGCGTCGCGTCAAAAAGGAAAACGCAAATCATACGCCAAAGTCGAACGACGGCATCTTGGTAATCGATATGCACCCGCATCCCTAAGATGTCCATAACTCATGGCAATGTGCAAAAGTGGATGTATCGCATATCCTGCGCTCGTCCTTTTGTTTGCCAAAATGAAAGATGCAGCAGCAGCAGCAGCAGCAGTCGCCTGACTGCCTGCCTGCCTGCCTGCATGCCCCTCCACGGCCACGTCCAGGTCCCTTTTAACCTCTTGCTCTTTGTTTGCGCTGCATCATCTGGTGCTGCAATCTGTTTTCCGCATCCTCCATGATTAAACATTGCCAAATGCAGCCAAGTCGCATTTGAAGACTTTGCATTGATATCAGGTGCTCTGCTCTGATGACTCCTGCTGCCGCTCTTCCTGCTCCTGCTTCTGCTCCTGCTGCTGCTGCTGCTGCTGCCGCTGTCGGCGCGTGTCTATTTGTGGCCAACTGTGATTTGCCCACTGGGCTATTGTCTGTCTAGAACTAAGGCCGGATCGTCAGCTGTGGCCACCATGTGGCACGTGTGGATGGCACAATTATAGGCTGCAAGATGCCCGTCTTGCTGTTGTTCGCTTATCTAGCTCTACTTGGAAATGCATTTGGATGTATACATACCCTGCACCTTGTGCAATAGGTGAATAAGAGGGTGCTTGTTTCGTATTTCTTACAGCGAAAGCAATAGAGAGGCATACTCATATACATGATTATAAAATACATAAAATAACTCATATACTTCGTGAATTACGTCAACAAAAACAAATACATTTTTAAAGGGAACAAGAATGGAATTACGACAATAATAAAAGGACAAAATGAAAGGCATTCACAAAGACATTTTAAATAAAATCTAAACAGTTCAAAGTATTCTCTGAGAAATATGACAAATAAATTATTAAAGTTCAGTTTATATTTTAAAAGCTATATAAGTTAATTTAAGATTTTCTTAATCTGCTATTATTCACAGGGTAGCTCGTAACCGAAACCCATTCACCATTAAATATTTTTAGGGGCTTTCGTCTGCTGTTGTTGGCATGCTTAATTACCCGCTTTATTATTAACATGTCACTTTGGCCCACATTCGCAGCGTGCGTTTCTTCTTCTTATATAGAACTAGTACACACTTGTGAATATGCAAATACGACTATTTGAGTTTGAATGGGAGTAATGCGATTTAGGCATGCATTACAATATAATAAGAGGGGATGTGGAGTGTTCGAGAGAGAGTTAAAGGGAAGGAGGGACAAGTTTATCTCAAAGTAATTTCAATCAAAAGGAAAACTGTAGTGCAAAAGGCAGAAATATGCAAAAGCTTTTTAATCAGGCGCCTCAAAGTTGCCGCGTCCAAAGAAACCCGTAAAACGTCAAAAAATAGAACAAGAACCAAGCAAAAAAAAAAAAAAATGTATATATTTAAAAAAAAGAAAACTGTTATTATAATCAGCAGCATCTGCATCGTCCGAGTAGGCATCGCCTTCCGTGCCATGCCGCCCCCTTTAGCTCTTGTCGCCTACTTTGTCATTATAATTTTTCTTTTCATTTAAATAAAAAACAAGCAACAACAAAATGAGTAAACCAAGTGCATTTTGTTATTTATTCGTTATGGCAAGTTTTGCTTGGGTTTTTTAATCAAACTGTTTTGGCCTGTGACTGGCATTGTCTCTGCCAGCAAAACGAGGGAAACAGTTGGCCAGACAGTCCAAGCGGAACTCGCTTTAAGATTGCCTCGTTCTTATTGGTCCCAGTCCCAGACACCCACACCAACAACACGTACACTTGATTGAGCGATGGGCACACGATAAGATACCAAATACACAAACACAGTGCACGATATGCAGCGAAAACAGCCGGCGAATAAGAAAACTTCAAGGCACACACACACACACATCCACACACGCACACTTTTACAATTAGAAAGAGTCGGCAACATGGGCATACCACCACCACGACAACAGCTACTGTAAGAAAACTCACACCATTAAAGTTTCAAGAGAAGATGTGGAGGCGAACCGTTTGAACCACTACAAAGGCAAATTGACAACAAATTCGCCGCAGAAACTTAAGCCAGAGAGCAAGAGGCAGCCAGCCACAAAACGAAGACGAATACGAAAACGAAGCCGAGACCGAAGTTGTGCATTGTTGTGGCCATCGTTTCTTTCCCCTGCCCAACGAGGTCGTCATCGTTGCCTAACTGTGACGTCACGCCTCAAGAAACGCTCAAGGAAATACAACGACCTTCAAACGCTTGAATCGCAACAGGGCAAGAAGCGGCAAAGAATGAGCGTGTAATGGGCATAAACGACGATGAGCATAAGAAGAGCCACGCTCGCTCGCACGCTCACTCTCTCGCACTCTCCGAGCGCATCTGTATCGTGCAGTTCTTTAAGATACTCTCTCTCCGTCTCAGACCTGTATCGCTATGTGCGATGGATCTGGAACTGGGCCTGGGTCTGGGTCTGGGCACTGGCACTTTAGTTGTGCGTTCAGTACAACGACGCGCTTTGTATCTTGTAGTTCGTCGCGCAGAGTCAGAGATAAATTTTGGATTTTGCTCGCGACTCATATGTGTGTGGATTAACTCTAATTTGTTTTTGATTGCTGCCCGGGGAACGGGAACGGGAACGGGAACGGCAACGGGTACGGGTGCGGAATCGGGCACGGGGCAACGGAACGAAACGCAACGTAAGTAAAATGTGCAATTATCTTGGCGCTGCTTTGGTCTTTTGATTTCTGGTTTTCGATTTCGGGACACGGGCACAAGATAAGCGCTCGCTCCATGGGGACCGCTGCCGCCTTATCGCCGCTCTCAGTTTGCGGTCTGTCTTGGTGTCTGTCTGTGTCTGCGTCCGCGTCCGCGTCCATCTGTCCATCTGTCCATCTGCTGTTCAAGTGGGCGTACTTCTTTTGCAATTAAAGAGGCGTTTTATTAATAAACCAAGCGATCCAATCCGCTGGGAATCGCGATTTCAAGTGCTCCTCCACGCTGAGCTGGCAATCATCAAAAAAAAGTCTGACTCGTTTCGAAGAAATAGTGTCAAAGTAGAAACAATAAAACAATTAAGTGATGGCAGGCTGCTAATGAAGCGTAAGTATGTGTGTGTGTGCGTGTGTGTGTGTGTGCGTGTATGTATGCCAAGCCAAGGGCAAAAGATCGATGGAAAACTAGAAAAGTGCGTTAAAGCAACGCGCAGCAGCAAAGAGAACTGGAGAAGATCAAGTGAAAAACGAAGACGCCGCTGGCGTCTCTGGCTGCGGGCAGTTGCTGATGACTCAACGGGAAGAGTATTTTGTGGCCAGCAAGAGATAAACATCAGGAAGAGGCGAACAGGCAAACAGACTGAGAGCGTCGATCAACGGTTAGTAACGGCTAAGGGAGAGTGGGTTGTGGCGCGAGAAACGCACGCAAGAATAAGAATCAAAATAGAATGGGGCAAACAAATGAAGGCGCTAAAGAAGACGGCAACAAAGGCGACACATGAATGTTAACAAAAACCCCGACCCGCAGCCCCCGCTCTACCATCTATGCCCCACTGCTGTTTACTTCTGCATACATACATACATATGTATGTATGTATGTATGTATGTGGGCTCTGATGTTGGCAACTCTGTAGGGGAGCGGAACGCGGGGGTCTTTGGGGTGCATTGAACTGGGCAGCTGCAACTGCAGAGTTGTGGCAGAAATTCGATTTACCAAATAATCGTAGCTGTTGCCAATTCTAGGAATTACCATGTAGATGCAAGTGTCTTGTTGTTGTTGTTTCAAATTTGGCTGTTTTTCTTGTTTATTATTTTTTTGCTGACATTGCGAATCGCATCTTTTTGAGCTGCGGCACAAAGCAGAGAAAATGTGTAGGCCAAAAATAATACAAATAAAATCATAAAAGAAGCAGCTGCAATTGAATTACGAATGAACGAGACGCACACACACACACACACACACACACACACGCTCACAAAGAAAGGGCATAGTAAGAGGAGGAAGCGAAAAAAAAGGAGACGACAATGCCGCTGCATGCGACCCAAACCGAACAAGTCGACGAGACGGGCAAGCTGAGAGGCAGGCAGGCAGCGGCAGGCAGTCAGGGTTGGATGGAGGATAAGGGAATGAGAATGACGATGGCAAAATTTGAGAAAATGTTGCAAGCAACAACAACAACAACAATAACAACGCCGAAACAACGAAAACAAGTAAGCAGGATCAAGGACACATGTGTGCGAGCGCTCAAAGCGAGAACCAGAAATTGTTACACGTCGCACGGGGCGAACGAGCGAATGCCGAGGCACAAAGAAAAGCCAGATTAAGGACCAGTTTCATTTCCTTTGTTGTAGTTGTTGCATGAGTTAATTTCTCTTTATTGTGTTTTCGAGGTAAATAGGTAGCTGTTAGGGTAGTTCGGCTAGGTAGCTCGTCCTGCGGATCGCAGGATGTGCAAGCGAAATGTAAGTGCAAAGCAAGAGGGAATCAAGAAAGAAACGAAAGAACACAGCGCGCAACGAAAGGTAATTAATGGACTGCGAGAGAACGAATGAAAATAAAAGAGAGTGAGACAGCACTGAGAGCAAATTACTTATAGAGGGATCATATGGCGGTTGTACAGTGGTGCGAAATGGAACGAAACTGAATGCAAAAGCATACCAAGATCGTTGGATATTTTGATGGTCACATTTATGAGAATATTGTCGATTAAAACAAGTAAGAGTGGCCGACTGGAAGATACCCAGTACTAACCCAGAAGAAACCTTTTATAAAATATGTATGAAATTTTCAGGCAGGCAGATCATACAAGAGTGTGTATGCATATGCCTAGTATGAGAATATTGTCGACTAAAACAAGTAAGAGTGGCCGACTGGAAGATACCCAGTATTAACCCAGAAGAAACCTATTATAAAATCTGAATGAAATTTTCAGGGAAGCAGATCATTCAAGAGTGTGTATGCATTTGCCTAGTACGGGTATAAAAGACAAAATGGTTTGTTGTTATAAGTGATATACTGGATCGGTGTGTACTATACGCCACATGATCTCAGAGATATGCAAAGTTAACTTTTAAATCGATTTTAATCAATTTAAGGGAGGGACTTGTATCCGAATAAGATTGGATGGAAAAGAATAAAATTTGCAAATTGAATGGAATCGCAATCAATAATGATTAAAACAAGTTTGATACGATTTGTGGGCTGTCCTTGCTCTAAAACCCCCCAGGCTCTACTCACATTTATCACCTGTAATTAAATCCTTTGCTGTTTTCCTTGCAGGCAGCTGCTGACACATTCAAGTTGTAAACGCTGAGCGATAAACCAAGTGGAAATTCATGTGACACCAACAAGAACGGCACACGATCAGAATCAGCAACGTCATCGGGAGGGAAGGGAGAGCAAAGACGAGGGCCATAAAAGGCTCGTGGCACATGAGGCATTAGGCCATCGCCTCTAACTTCGATAGCAAGTACTGGGGGTTGTTGAATTCATAAAGAAGTTGCATGCGGTGGGCAACTGAGGGGCGAGACAAAGCGATCCTGTCGAGGACGAGCCCTGCTTATCAGCCATGCGTTGCCAGCACCGCCAGCTGAATGCTGAGGGTTGAGGCTCTTATCTTAAAGCTAACCGGGCCAGGAGGAGGGTGCACGAAAAAAGAGCAGATGTTCGGAGTGAAAACCCAATCGAGCTGACGAGTCCACACTTTGCGCCTTGAGGGTCGCTGAGGGAGTCGAGGAATTATTTACATTTGCCATTTGCCGCAAAGGACGCGTGTGTGGCATGCGCCGAACTGGCAGCCAGAAGCCATATTCCACCAAAAAGCAAACGCCATTTGGCTATTTTAGGAACCGATCTCTTTAGCTTTCAGTTTCGTGTTTGAAGCTCTACAAAATTTGTTAGTTTAGAATGTCGGCGGATAAACATTTAGAAATTGTAGAATTCAGCTTGGCAGATGAGAGTGCGGCAAAAATAAAAGCAGCAGCGGCAGCAGCAGACGAGAAAGCGCCAAAAACTTTTAAAACATCAGAGAAAGAGAACTGTAATAGACAATCCCCGACAGCTGCTACTGCCACTGCAACAGCGGCTGCATCAGTAACAGCGACAGCAAGTGCAACGCCAGCGAACTGCTGCTCGAGTCAAGCTCCCAAGGCGGAACAGGCCACGCCCACAAGCAGCGCCGCAGCCACGGTTCGTCTGGGCAGCCAAGCAGCCGGCCAGGATGCGACCGATGGCATGGGCAATGGTACGGAGCTCAAGTTTCAGTCGTATGTGAATGGCAACGGCAACGGTGTTTACAAGATCATCAAGACATTGGGCAAGGGCAATTTTGCTAAGGTGAAGCTGGCCCTCCATGTGCCCACTGGCCGTGAGGTGGCCATCAAGGTGATAGACAAGACGCAGCTGAACACCAGCGCCAGACAGAAACTGTACCGTGAGGTGCGCATCATGAAGCTGTTAAATCATCCGAACATTGTCCGGCTATTCCAGGTGATCGAGTCGGAGCGCACGCTCTATCTGATCATGGAATACGCCAGTCGCGGCGAGCTATTCGATCATCTGGTCAAGAACGGACGCATGCGGGAGCGAGACGCTCGTATCATCTTCCGGCAGCTGGTGTCGGCCATTCAGTATTGCCACAGCAAGTTTGTGGTGCATCGCGATTTGAAGGCCGAGAATCTGCTGCTCGATCAGCACATGAATATCAAGATTGCGGACTTTGGATTTGGCAACACGTTCGATCCGAATGCCCAGCTGGAAACGTTTTGTGGCAGCCCGCCGTATGCCGCACCGGAGCTGTTTATGGGCCGGAAGTACGCCGGGCCCGAGGTGGATGCCTGGTCACTGGGCGTGGTCCTCTATACGCTGGTCAGCGGCTCGCTGCCCTTCGATGGCGGCACACTAAAGGAGCTGCGGGAGCGTGTGCTGCGCGGCAAATATCGTGTGCCCTACTATATCTCAATGGACTGTGAGAATCTGATGCGGAAATTCCTCGTGCTCAATCCCGCCAAGCGCACCTCATTAAATGGTGTCATGGGCGATAAGTGGATCAACCTCGGGCACGAGGAAGCGGATCGGCTGCGACCGTATCGTGAAAAGCCCATGGAGCTGCAGGATGCAGTGCGACTGGATCAGCTGGTCCACATGGGCTACAAGCGTCGTGATGTTGAGGTATCCCTGAGGGGTCAGGCCTTTGATGACATTTACTGCACCTACATGCTGCTGGGCGTGGCCAAACCACGCGGCTCCCGCCAGACCACGTCGGAGACAACCACTTCGGATAGTTCCTCTTCCAGCGCCCTGCCCTTGGCCAGCTGTGTGCAGGTGACGCTGCCGCTCGAGAAAAGTCTTTCAGCCACAAATCGTCCCCTGCCGCCGCGAGTAGCTAATGCGCTGGCTGCGGCTAGCCCTGCACCGAACTCCATCATAAGTCCGCCCACCACCACCACCAACGCCGCAGCAGCAGCACCACCGCCCGCCAAGCCCACACGCCGCACGCCCGCTCGCAAGACAGCCTCCTCTAGCACCGGCAACAGCTCAACCACCACGCCCAGTCGGAATCGGTCCCCGCAGACGCCGCAGAGCAAGCGTGCCATCAGCTCCAGTGGTGCTGCCGGCGTTGATGTCAAGCCCACGCTGCTCAGTGCCCAGCGGCAACTGGCCCAGGCCCAGAAGTTGGCCAACAGTCCGCAACGCTTCCACTATCAGGGTTCCGGGCGGCGGCCCACAACGCTCTACGAGAAGGCTGAGCCCGCGACAGCAGCACCGACTGCGGCAGCGAGTCCCTTGCAGGCGCCTCGATCGCCCATGGATGGGCGTCTGCTGGAACGGCTGCATGTCAATGCCCAAGCAACTGGTGCTTGTGCCGCTGGCCGTGCGACGCCCACGCCTACGCCCACGCCCCCACCAGATAAGTCCGGCGACAAGCCCTTCACACGCAGCAATGTGGCGCGCGCCACGTTTCACTTTGGTCAGGGGCGCAGTGGCAAGCATGGGCGCGGCAACTCTGGCAACTGCGATGAGGATAGCTACCATCAGGCGCCGCCACTCTCGGCGGACGATACCAAGCCCGCCTCCCGCGTCGGCTTCTTTTCCAAGCTGACGGCGCGCTTTGGCCGACGTGTCATCCAACTGAACGAGAAGGATGTCGCCGAGCAGCGCAAGAACCTGACCAAGTAGCATAGTATTACTATGTATACATATATATATATATATATGTATGTATATGTATATGTGTATATATATGTGTATATATATTTTCATATATCGTCCATGTACGCCGAGAAACCCCAAATGCATGCCTCAAAATGTCACCAAGTTGTTGGAAAGTACAAAAGAAAAACTAAAAAAATATATATATATATATACATATATATATATATATGAAAAACAATACAAAATAAGTAAACAAAGGAAAATGATATGGAATGAGAAGCAACAAAAACATCAAGTGGAAAAAACTAACGTGAAATTGTTAACTGCTCTTTAGAACTATAAGTGATAGTAGAGTATATATTTAGTTGGTATATTTTTTAAAACTGAACAAAATACATACACACATAATCATAATACTTTGCAATAAAAATTCATTTCAATTTTAAGCACAACACATCTTCCAGCAGGGGCGAGTGACTCCCAAACTGTACAGCAACAAAATGCCATGTTGGCATTCCAATTACAGTTTGGCATCCTTCTGGCACCAACGACAAATTTGCTGTCACGAATTGTGTGGTTTTTTTAGATTAATATTTATCTAAATATTATCTTTTTTTTTTTTTAATTATTTCTTTGTATAAATTGTCTGATATTTGTGGAATTTAATTATACTTTCTATCCTTAACTTTGTATGTTATATCTTTAAAATCCATTTAAGCAAAACTAATTCTATTTACAGGTTTAGAGTCGTTTCCAGTTGAATAGCACCAATTGATAGGCAACAGCAAGTGCCTCACAAACTGTACAGTGACACTGAAACTGTTTTTCGCACAACTATTTCCAGTTAGCGTGTTGTCCACACATTAAGCTGCCAATGGGAATTAACTGAGGCAAGCAGTTTGGCTAGAGCGGGCTGCAAAGGGGTCAGCCAAACAACAACAACAACAACGGCAAACACGAAACCGCAATCATTTTGCACATTTTCAAATTTGTTAAACACAGCAACAAAAAAAACAACAGCATAAACAGGCAGAGGTATACAACAGGTATACAAGTCGGCGTAGGCGTTGAGCTGCGGAAGGAAAAGGCGTTCACATTCCCATTAAGATATACACATACATATACCAATGTCCGGGCCCATAACAATATCCGGGAAATTCCGCAGAGGGGCGCTGACTTTTATGGTGGGAACTAACTGGACAAAAAAAAAACAAACCCAAAAGCGAAACTGCAACAAGAACGGGGCCTAAGCTAAGGGTTGGCCAAGGACTGTTCGACTTATTGGACACTCGCATTGATGGCGGAAGTAGAGCGCGGTTAATTTGCGGAAGTGTTTGGGCGGGCGAGCTAACAGGTCGCACATAAATTATGCATATTAGCGTGTAATGGAAAATGCATTTAAATGCTTTTCCAGCAGCACTTCTCCGATAAGGTACTGCTAAACAAATAGCGACAATTTCCATTTGTGAGTGGAAAGTCAATCTGGGGGCAAGCCACGAATCGCATTGCCTGATAAAATCGAAATCGAATTCGAAATAATACTTGCAGCAAGTAGGCAAATAAAAGGTGACTAGTTGGGCAAACAATACGAGTCAATATTTTAACTGGCAGTGCGCCCGACTCTTGATTAGATATGGGCATATATAAATATCTATATGCCAGATATAGCCGCAATCGCGGTTTATCAAGGATTCAAGTGTGCACAAGATTTGACAAACGGTGCAGACAATCAGATAACCGATTAGATAGCCCAAACAACAGCTAAAACCTCAGGCAACGCCAACTTCCCTCTATTCAAAACTACACGGAGAGAGAAATCTAGTGCTCACTTTTAATACGTATTAAATTTCAGATGATGTCAGATTTTTTCATCAACCTACAAATTCTTGATTCGTATATAACTTCCGATAAGTTCGAACTGCTTGAATTAATTATTTTGCATACTTAATTTCAGCTATATACGCAATTTATTGTACAAAATGTACCTTTTTAAAGTTTTTTATTTTAGTAAACTAAAATGACACATGCATCTTGTGCACACGGTCCAATCGTACTTTGAGGACTTGACTTGATATAAGAAAGAATATCTCTTTAATATTATTTTGGGTTGGGTATAATAATTAATAAGCTTATATAACCTCTTTTGCTTTTTGTGAGATTTGTGTTTCTACAGTTAATTAGAGCACGGGAGTTCGATCCCAAAACCTGCGTGCTGAGAGCATCGAAGCACTGCCTACCGCGCTTCTGAAGGACTTCGAATCTCTTGAATTTTTCTCACCGGGTGCGCTTAAACTACCATTAGATATACGTTTAGTCGCCTGTCTGACATCCTCCTATAAATATGCAATGTAAACTTGGTGCGGAAGTGCCAATAAGAAGGCGTCTGCGTAATCAGCTGCGTCTTTAGAGCAAAACAAAAGCTAATTTGCGGCAAAACTCTCATAACGAGCATGTAAATGAAACCAGAACCAAAAACCAAAACCATAAACTGAAACTGAAACTGAAACTGAGACCCAAACAGCCGAAATAAAGAAAACAAATATTAACAAAAGAACATGCTGGCTTACAGGACACTTACAAAAGGACAACGTCTTTGGCAGGATACTCGAGCAGCTAATTGAGGGTGGATTTGTCTTTAGAATCAGGACCTCAAGTGCCTGGCCAAACGCCTTGAGTGTGACTTGTGGGTCGCTCGCCCGCAAAAATTATGTCAATAGCCCCCAAGAACAACTTTTTTGGTACTGGAAGAAATTTGTAGTGTGCATTGTATGTGTGCGTGTGTGTGTGTGTGAGTTGCCGGTCTTACCTTTTTTTCTTGGCGCTTGCCATTGTTTGGCCTGGGCAAATATTTCAAGAAATTTGCCAGAAGAAAGCATAAATAAGTGTGGCCAGCTTAAGCGGTTAACATTTAATGTCAAGTGGGGTCGATGTTGAGTTTTCATTTTGATTTCTTTTGATTTTTCATGTCGCTTGAAAGCATTTACCCAGCAGTTTCTCTCTTCTTCGATTCGTTTTTGGCATTGTGCTTTTCACGCCAGCCAATTAGTCGGATTCGTTTTGGGCTCCCTTTTATAATTTTCTTTCTGTTTTTCTTTTTTTCTACTACTTTTCCTTGTACCTTACGCAAGCTACCCTTAATTAAGGCTGAGCATATTTAAGCTTCTTTTGGCGTGTCTTAGTTTACAACTATTTGTCTCATTTTCCGCCTGACTTAAGCGTTTAATAGTTTTCAGTTTTCAGTTTTACAGTTTTTGCTAGCTATAGTTTCACATACTCCTCGGAGGGCTGCCTCGTTTTCTTGTTGGAAGTTGAAAAGTTTTTCTTATTGGAAAGGGTTCGAAACTTTGCTGCTCACATTGAGCGTGCTCAGCTGAAGTTGATTTTACGGTACATTTTTTTTTGTGGTCTTCTGGCAGTTAATCAATTTTTCTCTATTGTGTTTTTATGTCTTTTTTCATGTAGTAAAGTTTATTAGAAAAGCGAGTCTGTGGTTTGTTGTTGGTCAAAAACTTTTAATTAAGAAAACCTTGAAGTGATTTATTGATTAGGTCTCTCGGACATACACACACAAACAAAAGCCTACAGTTAAGAAAATGCCCAACGAGAAGGCCCTGCCCAGCCCCATAAACTGAACAGCCAATGAAAATTCGAGCCGACTTGCAAGTTAATCAGCTCTGCGAACGGCGGCCAATGCATTAAATGAAAGATAAGTGACAGACGTTCAAGCGTAGGGGGTGGGGTGGCAGGGGGAAGGTGTGGAAACCGAACTAATTCAAAGAGACGGCGGGCGGGCGAATTGAGCAAAGAGGCAGCCAAGCGACGATGACGGTGAGTAGCAAATACAAAACGCGGCGAAATCAATTGTGTGACCAAAGGCGAAGAAGAAGCGACAAAGCTAGCGGCGCGGGAGTGAGCGTGAGTGTGTGGGTAGATAATGGGCAAAATAGTGGTGTAGGAGGGGAGGCGGGGGGTATGACTAGCGATCGACGCTGCGACGGCTACTCCCATATGACGATTTCTCTCTGATTTTATTGCGCTGGTGATTCGCTGAGGCGCGCTGCTTATGCAAGCGCAAAGAAATACACCCACAACACGCACACACACACACACACACACTTACCGTCACGGTCTGCTCATTAGGCGTAACGAAACTCAGAGCAGCAGCAACTGCACCAACGATAACTACAACATTTTCGAATTACTGAGTTCTATTATAATTTGAATCTCTGTCTCTTTTGCTGGCCAATGCGCAACAAGAAGCTAAATTGAGCTCGAGTTTTTTTTAGACAAAATGGCGGATGTTTCCGGTGACAGTTAAAAGTGATCAGGTGCGGCCCCCTCTAGATGTTGACCTGTGCTGCACATTACACGCCCAGCGCCCGCCACGCCTTCTGCCCCCCCCCCCCCCCCTAAAGCTCTTTTAATTGTAATCATTATACAAAGATAATCAGTGCGTATTCCCTCACGGTTGGGACTGCGGCTGACAAAATTCTTCGTGACAGTTCCGCTCAGAGCGGTGGTAGGCAGCGGGCAGCAAGCAGCAGTAGCCCGTGAGGCAAACAACTTGAAGCGGATGTGCTGCGACTGCGGTCACAACAAAAAAGCGGAACTACTCTTGAAAGATTTGCGCTGGCCATTTGGGCCACCACCTTCGCTGTCACTTTGTCCCGTGCTCTGTGCCGCCTGTCTGCGGCTTTTCAGCAGCATCGACAACCACCAACGAGCAACGTGCAACGAGCAGCGTGCAACTTGCAACGGCATCGGAACTTTGCTTCATGGGCGACGCTTTTACCTTTTGCTGTTGTTGCTTTCTGTAATATTATTAATTGTTCGCTTTTTTGTTGCTTTTCTTTTTATACCCTTTTAGTGGGTATTTTAATGTTGTTCTTAAATGTGTCGCAGGTAAGGAGACGTGTCTTAACCAATAAATAGTATATATATTCTTTATCAATAACAGCCCCTGGATCGCTTAATTTTAATGCTATCAACATACACTTGGCATAGGTTCATATTGCTGTTGCAGAAAGTACATATGTCGTAATTGGCAGAAACTGACTACTTTATAATAGGCACGATCGGTTAAAATTTAAAAATGGTACTTATTATTAAAAATTGAGAAAACCTGGGATTAACAAAGTCTTTACAGAATCGGACTACTTATCATATATCTTTATCGGAAAAAGAGCTATTTTAAAAGCCTTGGAACAGAAATTTCAAGATATCTCGATATCAAGTACGAGCTTTGTTTTCCTTCAAATATATTAACAAACTTTTATCTAGTGGGACTACTAACTTTAAGCCACATGTCGACAAGGGTATTTCAAGTGCGGCGTGGCGAAGCGTTCCTTTATGCTTAATATGTGTTTATTTATGTCGTGCTCCCCCTTATTGTTTCGATTTCGGGCTTGGTGCGTGCTATATGGAGTTGTTGGGTTTAACGACTTGTTGTGCCTGCGACAGGGTGTGAGTAGGGCTTGAGGGTGTGCCACTTGTTGGTGCCGCTGCACGTGGGAAACATATATATACATGCGGCGACTTGCAGTTAGCTATTGTTGATAGCAGCATTCGCAGCCATTAAGCTGCCGCCTTGTCACACATTTCCACAATTCCAAATACATGAGTCTCTATCGTGTTTAAGCCAAACTGTACCAGAGCTGGGCTGTGTAATTCGATGCTTCAATGATTTTGCCATATGAGACACTTAAAACGCGAGCAGGGCCAGTGGACGGGCCTAGAGATCCACAGAATCGGCATCAAAATCGACTAATGACACGCCAAGTGCTCGTGCATCCGGTCGAGATCGAGGGGGTTGGGCGTGTTATTCAAATGCTCTTTAGGGGGTACAACAGGTTCACTATAAAGTTTGTTGTGCGCCGAGTGGACAATTTTTATCTATTTGAAAAAACTGTTTTCAGATATAAGCCAATAAATATTCTTATACCATAAGGGTTAAATGAAATAAGTGAAGAATATGTTTTAATTTTGGTTTCAAATGTTCGAATTATATAATTAAAGCTAACGAAACCCGAGAATTTATGCAAATACTAAATATAAATACTAGATAAATACAATGCATTTTTGTTTAATTTTTGGGGTCGTTTTTTCCAGACAAGAAAATTGTTTGAAATGAACTAAACTGTGCAGGCTATGTATATTTTCAAAAATGTTATAACTAACTGTTGAGTATAGTGGAAATTAAGTGTATATAAATTATTATTGAGAAATTTTCAGTAGCATCTTGAAATGTTTGTAGCTAGATATTTACTTCACTTTTTCGAAGACAGTATTGCTTTTTAGTTATATAATCTTCGTTAATTTAAAAAAAAGATAATAAAACGATTAAAATTGTAGAAAATTGGTTTCAAATAGTCAAGAGTATTTAAATGTCGTTGATAAGAGCTAAACTAAGCTGTCTTGCTTTTATGTAAGGTCCGAGCTTTAGTGGACTTTTTTTTTAAATTTATATGATAGATTGTGTGTGCTGCTGCAGCTGTATTTATCTCAGCGCTCGTTTGGGTTCCTAGATACTAGATAGTTAGATGGTTGTTCGCATTCACAGTCATAGTTTTAGTCGCGGTCAAACTTAGTCGTATTCGTCGTATTCATGCATGGCGCGCACCAAATACGAAATAAATTACACTTGATTATCTTGTTGCTCGGCTGGTTCTCGTTGTTGTTATTTACGTCGCCGGCTCATAACCAAAATAAAAAACAATCTCACAGATACATGGACAAGCAGCGACCAGTTGGACAGCGGCACGGATGGACGGACTGACAAACAGTCGCTGGGCATGTGTTGATATTCTACAAGTCATTTGCTGACTTAATTTCCAAAGCGAATAGCGCGCGCGATCGTTTGGGAGCAGTGAAAATTGGGCCGAAATGGGGCTTGGGGTCGGGGGTGGATGCATAGAGATCAGAATGGAACGGTGGCTCGATTCGGGGTCGCGGCTGCTGCTCAGCGAGGCGTGCAACTTGGTCCAACGTTCAAGTGAGCGGCTGCCATTGGCCATTGGTCAGAGCCCGAGTCGGAAGCAGACTTAAGCTTTATGTGTGTGCGGTTGTGTCTGTGAGTGTGTGAGAGTGTCTGTGAGTGTGTGTATGCTTTATTTAATTCTAGATAATCATAACGACTTGTTGCTGTAGCTAGCTGAGTACTAGAAGCCTCGGTCTGTGTCGCTGTTCTGTTTTTTAGGGTAATTTTCTTTTTGCAATTGAATGAATTTGCGTTGTAGTCGCGGTTTTATGTTTGTTTTTTTTTTCCGTTTTTATTTTTTTTTTATTATTTAGTTGAGTATAAAAGATTATGCGCTGCCCAGATGGACGATGTTAGATGTGTGTTTAGATGGTTGCGCTCAGCTGCCGCCGAACTGGCGAACGGGCACGAGTTAATGCCAGAAATTTCACTTCCGTTCTTAAAACGATTTCCGGTCCTGGCTGCTGACTCTTTGAGAGTTGTCAGTGCATGGCGAACAACAGTCGAACAACTTTCCATACTAATTTTTCAGGCTTAGGTAGTCGGGTCGGGTGGGTTGATTAGGGCAACTGGGCAGAGCTCATGGGTCGCTGTGCTAAATATTCAATGTGCAAAACTTTCTTAACACCGAAGTACACTGTTCAGCATGGCAAGTTTTTCAAAGGCGCCCGAGCAGGGACTTCAGAGACGTCATTGTAGCTGGTCCGTGCATTGTGCGCCTAAAAGTCAACTTTAATTTACATTTTTCATAAGTAGCCTTAGGTGCACTTACTTAGGCCGACATAAGAGCAGCTGAGCAGGCAGCGAAATGAGAAGTTGTTGTTGCTGCTGTTGCACATATGGCAAATATGAAAAGAAAACTGGCAAAGTAGCAGCAGCAGCATGCACATGGCCAGCACAAATCGAGGGGAGAGGAGCACACACACGCGGCAGCAACAGAAGCAGGACTCGTGACTCAAGCAGCCAGGCAAAAGTTGGGCCTGTTTAAATTAAACACAGCACAACACAGCACACACACACACACACAACAACAACAACAACAATGCTGGGGCACACAAAGTTCATGATAAAGAAAACAGAATACCATACAGATAAGAGGGCACGACTGTATAATACTAGTCAGAATTATTTTCACTTATGAATATAGTTCTGAGCTAAAAGCCTCAGATTTGAATAATATTTCATATTATTAATATTTAAGCTAAAATTTCAAAATATAATTCCTTTGAATTTGGAATATTACAAAATACAAATTTTGTATGATTTTAATTGCTTGGAGTTACTAACAAATATGTGTTAAGAAACAGCGCGACAAATTAAAGCGACACAAATGGTTTTCATTTTGAAATTTAAGTGAAAATACAAAATAAAATTAACAAAGAGAAAGTTATCTATAAGAATTGTGCTTAAACTTACTTATTTACTTTATTTTACTTTATGCGTACTGAGATATACCCTACTAATCTTAGATGGAGGGTATTCTCGTGTGTAGGAATACTAAAAAAAACTCATTTACACGTCGGCAACTTGCGCGGAGGAGCTGACTGCCAGCAGCAGCAACAAGAATAACAACAAACAATACAACAACAAGAATAATAACGAGACCTGTGCCTGGGCTGGCTTTGGTTAGGTGTGCTAGAAATGCTTAAGACTTGTTTCCTTGTATTTTGTCATTTAAGCTGAAAATAATTGCAACTGCTTGTAAATGTTGCACGGCGGCAGCAATAACGGCAACAACTAACTGCGCCTGCTGACAGCAGAAGGATAACAACATGTCGCATCATTACACACTCACACACATACACACACAAATGCAACTTCAGCAATATCCGCTTCCGTTGCTGTTGCGTCTGCCTTAAGAGGCGTTACCTCTCCGAGCCCGAAGCGCCTCATCTTCTTAGTCAGCGTCTATTTTTCCTATATTGCAATCGAAAGAGTTGGAGGTATAGAGCGAGAGAGAGAGAGAGAGTGGGGTAGAGTAAGAGAAAGATGGAGATAGAAATGAAAGGAATTGGCAGTCAACGTTGCGTTAAGAGCACCTAAAATTAAAACGGACACAGGCTAGTGCTGTGCCATGCATATAAGGTCCCACCTCTTCACTGCCGCCCTACCCTTAAGAGCCGTCGCTCTTGCATCCCCTGTGAGCTGCATAAACGTCACTTTTCTTGCCATTTCATCTTAAGTAGCACACAAATATACGAGTAAACAAAAGCCAAACAAACTGGCCAGGAGTGAGAGCTCACAAAGGCGTCTCTCATATATGTGAGTTTCCCCCCCCGCAATTTCCCAGCCCGTTTCCCTCATCTGTGTCTCTGTGTATGTGTTGACTTTCTAATTAAAAAATAAAGTCCAGTCGGGCACATAAAAGCGTCTCATTTGCAGAAGACTGTATGTCTTTGGTCAGTCTATGGATGGATTGCCTTAAAGATAGCTTAACGGGTACTTACCAAAATTTAAGCGGCTTTCTCATTGGATAACTTCTCGATATGGTGTAACCTGCAAGTAAAAAGCAGACAGTTGCACAGCGCGCAAAAGAATGTTGTGATTAGTAATTTGATCTTTAGGTTGGCGATTTTAAGGCTGCAAAAAATAAATATATAGTTATTTGTGTGTGTGTGGAAGACGAGCTAATCGATTTGAACTGCAGTTGAATCTAAACTTTGGCCTAAACAATATTTTTGACTGGTTCTAGATTTTAATTAAATTTATTAATTTCCTTAATTGATCGGTTTAATATTTATATGCGAGTCAGCATTGCTTGCTCGAAGAATTATTTAAAGCTGCAAGTGAAAAAATATTAAAAAATAATTTTTAAAATTATATATTTTAACAAAAGTAATAAGTTCATAAAATTCTGCAAGAAGTTTTTAAAAATGTTGTGAGCAAAACTAATAAGTAAAAGCATAATTAGATTAAAACAATTAATAAAAACAACAAAAATATTATAATAAATGCATAATTTCTTTTAAGAAGAGAACATAAAATCTTGCTGCTTTTCTGTTAAGTTTATATGCAAGCTTCTAAATTATGAAGTGCAATTGCCTTTTATTTACATAATAATCTACATGATAAAGGGAACAAAGCTCAACGTTTCAGGGGCTCAAAAGCTTTGAAAGTCTTGGGTTTATGTTTTATATCAAGTATGCATATATTATTAGTTTCGTTTAGTAGTTTTTTGTTTGTTTTGTTTTTGCACCAATACCATTTGCGATATTTTACCCTTAATTTAAGTTTACATAGCCATTGGCGATTTCGTTGCGAATTCGTGCAGTGGAAACTGCGTTGCGGCTCAGCGTTCGCTACTGGCGGACCCAGCGGCCCGGCTTGGATGCCACCAAGGCGCCGCCATTGACTGGACACTGACCAGTGGCAGTGGCAGTGGCTGTGCCAGTGGCAAAAGCTCGTGGCAAGCCTCTGCCTGGAGTTGAGGGGTTTGATGTTGACGTCGTTGCTGGCACATTTTGTAGCCGGCTCGTTTGAACACAACAAATTTGAATTGAATTTTGTTTGGGGTCAACACAAATGCACTGTAGCGCTGCGGGCAACTGAGGGGTCAAAAGCGGGCGTCACTAAACACTTTTTTATTTGGTTGTTAAAATTTTGCATCAAGTGGCAAAATAATAATAATAATTATAATAATATCATTTAACATACAGCCGCGCTGAATGCTACATTTTCAAAATTTTGCGTGTTGTTTTCACTTCAAGCACTGCCGAAAGTTGGGCTACACTTTATATTTTAAAAAACATTTTTTGGAATTTTTAACGGCGCTGCATTATTTGAAAAAATTTGTTTGTTTGTTTTTTTTTTGTTATAACATTTTATTTTTATTTTTAGTTATGTTTGCTTGTTAATTAAGTTGAATCTTTCTAGCACATTAAATATAACTTTTTAAAATTTCGTTTCGTTGCCGCAGCGCTTTTCGAGTTTATTATTTATGTAAATTAGTTGTTCAATTTATTTTTAATCATTCTTTCTAATTTGTATGCTTCCAAATAGGGAATTTCTAAAGAATATCTGAGAGAATTTAAATAAGTATGCATAAGTATATCATGAATATGTTTAGAAACATTTTTAAATATTTGATATATGTTAAAACTTTTTTTTATGTTCCAATCGTGAAGACAATTCAACACAATTTAATTTTTGGTAAGCAAAATAAGATTTATTGTATCTAAATGGAAGCATATCAGAAAACTTATGTTCTGTAAGAAATTTGTGTGATTAATGTGTTGGAATTTATTCAACATATTAAATCACATATTTCAGTATTGATTTATTTTTTTAAGCGATTTAGTTAACTCAATCTCTTGAAGTTTTCGCTACTGTTTACACACATTGCTTGTATTATTATTATTCATTAAATATTCATATTTCAAAATTTTGTATATTGGCACTTCTTTAGTGTTTTTATTTTGCACAATTTATTTAATTAATTGTAAGATTTAAATAATTAAATTATTATCATATTGTTATCAATATAATGGAGCTAAAACTAAATACGTTTTAATGGAAATACGTCTCGCAGAACAGTGTCCTTTGACAAAGTCCCAACACGTACCCACGAACTGGATGCTGCGTTAGCCGAACTACAACTGACTACCTGACTGACCAACTGACCAAAGGACCAGCTGCCTTTCCTAACTGGCTACTGCTGCTGCCTCTGCTCCTGACTATGTTCTGCTGTTGCTCCGGCCTGCGAGGCCACGACGCTGACGCTGCGAGCCAAGACGATCGAATGTCTCACAAGAAACGAAGGCCAAGTGCTTTTATATTCGACTCGTGAAACCCACATTGTGGCTGTCAGTGTACGTGTGTGAGAGTATTTATATAAATTAGAAATTTCTGTGTGCGTATTTCAATATATAAGTATTTGTGTGTATGAAATCCAGTTGCTGACAAAGTTGAGCAGTGCTGCGGCGAATCAAAGGCGCTCCACTTTGTGTTTGCTTGTGTGGCGGCTTGCCTTAAGAGTTTTAGATAATTTCCGGCCAAGTTTTTGCCCCAACAAGGCCATGAAGGACTCGCTGCCAATACGAAGCAAGCGAAACTGAGTGACAACTTGTCGTATGCGCAATGTTGGCTACCACCAATGCCAGCAACAGCCGCTACTGAATGTGTATGTGTGAGTGTTTATGTTTTTTTGGTGTGTGTGTGGTTGCCGCGTTGGTTGGCTAATCGAGCGCCTAACTGACGTCCGCTTTGAAGTATGCAACAAATAAACTCATCTCGATTTCAACTTTAAATTTAAACATCATCTGCGACTCTCACGTACCACAAGCAGCAGCCAAATATTTGAGATCTCAGTTATTTATATTTTTATTTAAGATATTACTTTTTGACAAATATTTTGAAATATTTAAATTATTTATTATTTAAGGTGGTAGTTTTTATAAATTTTTTGTTTGTTAGTTGATTTAGCAGTTGCTTATTGCACTGTATATGCTTCCATGGAAATTCCGTTAGTGGCGTTTTTTTTTTAAATATTTGAATTTATTTTCAGTTAAATTTGTAAGTTTGATTTAAATAATTGAATGCATTTTTACACAAGTCGAGGCGGCGTGCGTCAACGTCGTCGGGTCAGAAGACAGAAACGCCAAGCAAAACTTCTGCCAGCGCGCGTGACTAGAAACGTACTGAATTTTGTATTCTAGAATATAAAAGTAAAATGCTTGGTTTGGCCAAATGCCGAAAACCCAAAGACCAAGGCGCTGCTGCTGCTATTTCTGCTGCTGCTGCTGCGACGTCAACGCAATGCCCACATAAGTATGCAGCACTTTCTTGTAAGCAGGCAGCCACGTCCTCGTCGTCGTCGTCATCGTAGTCGTTGCCTGCTTGCTGGCTTGCTTGCTCCAACCTAACGACGCCTGTCTGCTGCTTGCTTGTTTTTTCTATATACCCGGAGAGGAACGAAGAGCGCATTTAAATATATCTATATAATAATATATATTATTTATATATGTATTAGGCGACGTCGCAGTAGCAGCAGCAGCAGCAGCAGCGGCGAAGCAGCAGCAGCAGCAGATAATTTCCTATACGCAGGCGACAGTAAGTGCAAGTAAGTGTGCGCTCGCTCACACACACAAACGCACACACACACATACCTAGACGAAGAAACTCAGCAAGGCAAGAGCCGATAACAAAGCGTCCTCACGAGCGAGGCGACGACTGAACCGAGGAGCACGAACGGCGAGGCGAACCGTACGCGCGCGTAGCTTAAGATGAACTAGAAGAAGCAGGCAGCCAGCAAGCAGCAGGCCTGCTACAGAGAGACGCACTCCCACACACACACACAAGCATACTTGCCCAAGCCGAAGCCCGAAGGATGCCGATGTGTTGCTGCTGCTGCTGCTGTTGCAGGCTAATGTAATGCACTCACACACACACACACATACAAACACACACATACGCACATATAAGGCCAGATGCAGGCGGCAGCTATAGAGAGAGAGAGAGAGAAAGAGAGAGCGAACGCAATTAGAAAGCAGTGCCGCACGAAGCAGCCGAAAATTATGCTGCCCGAAGCACGAAGGCACTGCAGTCTTCGTGTGCTGCCGGCGAGAGCGAAGAGAGAGGATATTAGGAGGTGTTAGAAATGAAGTTGTCTGAAGCTGAAAGGAGAAGTCAGCGGCAGCAACAAACGTGAGCATCTTGCTGATGCTGCGAACCGTTTGTTGTTGTTCTGTCTGATTTCTCCTAATTTCCTTTACATTTAACACCGAGATTTTGCACACATTCTGCTTACCAATTCGTCGAGTCTCAGAGCATCACGTGTGTTATATTTGTTGGTATAGAAAATGTTGTTGCTTTTCGTGTTGTTTGTGTTTTTAGTTGTTCGCGATGTTGTCGTATAAAAAATACATATATACAAATAATAATAATACGTATATACTTATAAAAATGTTGCCAACAATCTTTTGTGCTTTGTACTTTTGATTTTACATTTGAATTTGGTATTTTGTAGTATTTTGTTTTCTCCTTTTTGTTTTTTATTTACTTGTTTTTTATTACAAACTAAAATGTTTATGATTTCTTTTTAAGAGCTTTTAACGTAAATGCAAGATTCAAAATGAAATATACTTGGAAACAGTTGAGAGTTTCTTCTGGTAGCTTGTTGTCGAGATCGAGTTTCAGAGTGTTTTTTTTTTCTTGATCGAAATTGCACATAAAAATGTTTCCGACTTTTCGTTTTTGTATTCGCTTTTCCCAAAAAACGGCAAAATGTTTAATACAATTTTGTTGTTCGTTTTCTTTTTGTTTATGCGTTTTCAATTTTTTTTGTTTTGTTTTTTTTTTTTCTGAAAAGTGTTTTGACTTTTGCTGTAGTTGCTTTGGTTCGAGGATAGAGTTCGTATGCTTATGTACAATATACACGTATGATAAATTTTTGAATGATTTTGTTGTTTTTGGTTTGCTTGTATTTTTGTTGGTTTTGTTTTTTTAGTGCACGCAAAATTAATACTTTAAAAAATAAATGAAAACGTAATTGAAAAATC